CCCAGACTTGTTAATTATTTAGTCTGAGATAGTCCCAAGGTTAATTTGCGCAATACTAAGCTTAAAGGGACACTGCAGGCACCCAGACTACTTCTGCCCATCTGTAGAATGTTCTATTCTAGAAGACTCAGATCAGACTGTATCCAGCTCTGTGTGCAGAACGTTCTGTCATAGAATACTCAGATCAGACTGTGTGCAGAACGTTCTATTCTAGAATACTCAGATCAGACTGTATCCAGCTCTGTGTGCAGAACGTTCTATTCTAGAAGACTCAGATCAGACTGTATCCAGCTCTGTGTGCAGAACTTTCTGTTATAGAATACTCAGATCAGACTGTGTGCAGAACGTTCTATTCTAGAATACTCAGATCAGACTGTATCCAGCTCTGTGTGCAGAACTTCTGTCATAGAATACTCAGATCAGACTGTGTGCAGAACGTTCTATTCTAGAATACTCAGATCAGACTGTATCCAGCTCTGTGTGCAGAACGTTCTCTTCTAGAATACTCAGATCAGACTGTATCCATCTCTGTGTGCAGAACGTGCTATTCTAGAATACTGAGATCAGACTGTATCCAGCTCTGTGTGCAGAACGTTCTGTTATAGAATACTGAGATCAGACTGTATCCAGCTCTGTGTGCAGAACGTTCTGTCATAGAATACTCAGATCAGACTGTGTGCAGAACGTTCTATTCTAGAATACTCAGATCAGACTGTATCCAGCTCTGTGTGCAGAACGTTCTCTTCTAGAATACTCAGATCAGACTGTATCCAGCTCTGTGTGCAGAACGTTCTGTTATAGAATACTGAGATCAGACTGTATCCAGCTCTGTGTGCAGAACGTTCTGTCATAGAATACTCAGATCAGACTGTGTACAGATCGCTCTATTATACAATACTCCGATCAGACTGTGCAGTACGTTATATTATACAATACTCAGATCAGACTGTGTGCAGAACGTGCTATTCTAGAATACTCAGATCACACTGTATCCAGCTCTGTGTGCAGAACGTGCTATTACAGAATACTCAGATCAGACTGTATCCAGCTCTGTGTGCAGAACGTACTGTCATAGAATACTCAGATCAGACTGTGTACAGATCGTTCTATTATAGAATACTCAGATCAGACTGTGTGCAGAACGTTCTATTCTAGAATACTCAGATCAGACTGTATCCAGCTCTGTGTGCAGAACGTTCTGTTATAGAATACTCAGATCAGACTGTGTGCAGAACGTTCTGTTATAGAATACTCAGATCAGACTGTATCCAGCTCTGTGTGCAGAACGTTCTGTTATAGAATACTCAGATCAGACTGTATCCAGCTCTGTGTGCAGAACGTTCTGTCATAGAATACTCAGATCAGACTGTGTGCAGAACGTTCTATTCTAGAATACTCAGATCAGACTGTGTGCAGAACGTTCTATTACAGAATACTCAGATCAGACTGTGTGCAGAACGTTCTCTTCTAGAATACTCAGATCAGACTGTATCCAGCTCTGTGTGCAGAACGTTCTGTTATAGAATACTGAGATCAGACTGTATCCAGCTCTGTGTGCAGAACGTTCTGTCATAGAATACTCAGATCAGACTGTGTACAGATCGCTCTATTATACAATACTCCGATCAGACTGTGCAGTACGTTCAGGGCCGGCCTTAGGGGTGTGCGAGCTGTGCGGCCGCACAGGGCGCCATGGCAACAGGGGCGCCGGCGGCCAACACAGCTCGCAGGCCGGCCGAGTTCTGTATTTAAAGTGCAAGTCAAGTGCATAATACTGCTTTGCACTTGACTTGCAAATTATGAGCAGAGAGCCGCCGCCGGGAATCCACTTCTGTATGGAGGGTGGAGGAGGAGCGTGGGGGCGTTATGCCGCGTACTTGCGTAACGTCGACGTGCTCTGTCATCAGAGGGAGCCGCAGAAGGATCCAATTCAGTGAGTGAAGGCGGCACCCGGTGCTCTTCAATCGGCGGAGACAGCTCAGTCCAGGGAGCAGCAGCCTTTACTGTGAGTGACTTTTTTTTTCTTTTTTATTAAATAGGTTTTGTTGAAGAGGTGCAGGAATTTAATTAAGGGGGGCAGGGGATTGATGAAGGGGTGGCATGGATTGCATTAATTGGCAGGGGATTTATTAAGGGGGCTGATAAAGGGTGGCAGGAAACTGAAAAGGGGGGCATGGGGCTGATTAAAGGGAGCAGGTGGTTGATAAAGGAGTGGGAGGGGATTGATGAGGAGATCAGGGGGCTGATGAAATGAGGGCAGATGGCTGATAAATAGGTGGGAGGGAATTGATGAGGGGGCAGGGGACTGATGAAGGGGTGGCCAGGGGTTGGATTATTTGGCATGGGATGTATTAAGGGGGCTGATGAAGGGGAGCAGGGGGTTGAAAAGGGGGCATGGGACTGATTAAAGGGGGGCAGGTGGGTGATAGGGGTGGGAGGGTACTGATGAGGGGGTCAGGGGGCTGATAAAAGGGGGAGGGGATTGGTGAGGGGGTCAGGGGACTGATGAATGGGGCAGAGGGCTGTTAAAGGGGTGGGAGGGGATTGATTAGGGGGTCAGGCGGCTGATGAATAGGGGCAGAGGGCTGAGTAAAGGGTGGGAGGGAATTGATGAGAGGGGCAGGGGACTGATGAAGGGGTGGCAGGAATTGATAAAGGGGTGGGAGGGGATTGATGAAGGGTAAGGGGTGGCTAGGAGTTTGACGAAGGGATGGCCAGGGCATTGATGAAGGGGAAGGGGTGGCCAGGAGTTTGATGAAGTGGTGGCCAGGGGCTTGGTGAAGATCTGGCCAGGGATTTTGGTTAAGAGGTGCAGTGGTTTTGTAGAAGGGGGTGGAGGCAACATATTGTGAATGCTCCTAAAATAGTTTGAAGGGGTCCAAACAGAGACAGGTGAGGGGGGGGGGGGGCGCCACAAGATTGTTTCGCACAGGGCGCCTGAACACCTAAGGCCGGCCCTGAGTACGTTATGTTATACAATACTCAGATCAGACTGTGTGCAGAACGTGCTATTCTAGAATACTCAGATCAGACTGTATCCAGCTCTGTGTGCAGAACGTGCTATTACAGAATACTCAGATCAGACTGTATCCAGCTCTGTGTGCAGAACGTTCTATTATAGAATACTCAGATCAGACTGTGTGCAGAACGTTCTATTCTAGAAGACTCAGATCAGACTGTATCCAGCTCTGTGTGCAGAACGTTCTGTTATAGAACACTCCGATCAGACTGTATCCAGTTCTGTGTGCAGAACGTTCTGTTATAGAATACTCAGATCAGACTGTATCCAGCTCTGTGTGCAGAACGTTCTGTTACAGAATACTCAGATCAGACTGTGTGCAGAACGTTCTGTTACAGAATACTCAGATCAGACTGTGTGCAGAACGTTCTGTTACAGAATACTCAGATCAGACTGTGTGCAGAACGTTCTATTACAGAATACTCAGATGAGACTGTGTGCAGAACGTTCTATTACAGAATACTCAGATGAGACTGTGTGCAGAACGTTCTATTACAGAATACTCAGATGAGACTGTGTGCAGAACGTTCTATTACAGAATACTCAGATGAGACTGTGTGCAGAACGTTCTATTACAGAATACTCAGATCAGACTGTGTGCAGAACGTTCTATTACAGAATACTCAGATCAGACTGTGTGCAGAACGTTCTATTACAGAATACTCAGATCAGACTGTGTGCAGAACGTTCTATTACAGAATACTCAGATCAGACTGTGTGCAGAACGTTCTATTACAGAATACTCAGATCAGACTGTGTGCAGAACGTTCTATTACAGAATACTCAGATCAGACTGTGTGCAGAACGTTCTATTACAGAATACTCAGATCAGACTGTGTGCAGTACCCGTCTCCCCCAGCAGGGTGCGCTGTCCCCAGCCCTCACACACAGAGCACGTGACTAGCGTGGTGACGTGGCTGGCAGACGGCGAGTCATGGTGCTGGTGTGGGGGTCGCGGTCTCTCTCCCTCCCCCTCCGGCCCTGGTGCCGCGGGCTGAGCGGCCTGTGCTGCCCCCTGGCCCCGCGCCGCTCCCTGCTCCGGCTCCGAGGGCCGCACACGCCCGCCTTCCTGCAGGGCCTGATGACCAATGACGCAGCGCGGCTGAAGGAAGGCGCCTTGTACGCTCACCTACTCAGCGTGCAGGGGCGGAGCCTGTATGACGTCATCCTATACAGGTAAGCCGTGTCCCAGCCAGGGCAGAGCCCTCACAGCGGCCATCTTTAATCCTGGCAGCATTCAAACTGCAAAACTTTATTAGCAAATGTGCTCAGAGCACAGCATGGCTCTGCTTATCTGTGAGAGGTGAGATCTCCCATAGAGCAGTGCGTGTCCAGGTATCTCTGGGACTCTGCTTTCACTGTCACTGATAGGATACTGGCCAGCAATGGGCCTCCATCAGTGTGGCTTTGGTTACAAGGACAGGGTTTAAAGTTTGGGTTGCTAGGCAACCCAGGAGTGTAGAATGTGTGTGTGCTAAGTGTTACTGATTGCTAAATTCCAAACTATAGTGACTCCAAAGGCGATTTGCAAAACTGAGGCTCAATTAGCCAAACTGTAACAACAGGAGAGTCGTAGAATTTATTCAAATTTTGTCCCAAGTTTTTCAGTTTTGATTTCAGCCCGATACAATCCATTGTTTATGGAATAAATCCCTGAGCATAACTACAATGCTGTCATAAGGAATCAAAAATAAATAAATAAATTTAAAAAAGATTGATGGAATCTTATAGGAAATAGATACTTTCTGGCAACATGTGAATTGTACGTAAAGGTGGGCAGCACTATTCAAGGACCTGCCAACATCACTCGGGGCGTATAGCTGTCCGGGAAATCATGGATGAGGTGAAAGTCCTTTATAACTGTCCACTAGAAATGTGTCATCTGGCTGATGTATTGCTGCCATCTGCATGTCACTTTCATGGCTTGTCACAGACAGGCTGTCAGATAAGCACACATGGTACGCTAAGATAAACTCTCACACTACACCTCTCTTATCAAGGCACGCCAAGAATGTGTAGTTCTGTAAATACGTGTAAAAATTACTAACATTTTACACATGTCTAAATTATAATTATTGTTATTTGATGTCTTTCAATCACTTCTCTTTCCCATCCCAATGGACCGTATAACATATTATTTA